CGGACAAGAAAAAAAAAACAGAAATATTTTCAGCCATTTTAATAAATTGTTTTCCCATCTTTTCATATTTTTTCAGATTTGTCGTTTGAAAAGGGAAGAAATCACACATCCATGAAAACTATCTTTCAGTAAAAGCTAATTCACAGAAATGACAACAAGAATAATGGAATAAAACAATAATTATGAAGTTTAATAATGATTGTAAAATATAACCCTTGAAAATTTTTTAATTAGGTGTTTTACTGAGAATACGGAAAGTTTGTAAAGATAAATATAGCACCATTAGAAATTTTAAATGTTAGTTTTTAGAGATTTTACTTATTTCTGAAATATCAATTGATATTGGTGTATCATGGTACCGCTGATACCTTTAATAGTATTTTTAAGATTTGATAAAACTGAATGATAAGATTTCATTTTGTAACATTGATATTTTTAATTTTTATTTTTTATTTTCTAATATTAACACCACACATAAATTAATTTAAGGTTTCGGTTTGATATATTGATAAATCATACTGTTAATATTGAAACATTTCAAATTTTATCCAATTATTTAGTACATGATTTCCAGTTTAAAATTGTAAGTTACCCCTCCTCCATATCGATTTGTTACTGCGACATGAACGAAAAGTGTACAGTTTTCCAATATTTCACCTTCGTTATTCAGTAAAGGTACATGACGATAGCCTAAAATTAAGAAAAAGAGAGAAAACGAATTTTTAATTTCAAAAGTCGTTAAGAATAAAATTTGTTAAATTTCAGAAGATAAAAACAGAGAAGAAACTGAGAATTGCATGTGGTCAAGTAAAATAGTTGAAAATGATAGAGATGAATGATTGAAATTAAATATTTTAATTTTACTGTTAGAATGAATGGCCAAATCCAGTTTGATGGTTACATTATATGACAAAAAAGTGCAGAAAAAGAAAAAAAAAGTTGCGATGTTAAAATTTGCGTATTGCAACCAAAATGATATATGTTTTCTATTCAAAATTCTTTGGCTATTTAGAAAAAAACGACGTTCATTATTTGAAAATAATTGGAATTTTCAGATCTCAGTAGTAACTTTAACAATATAGAAAAAAGTAATAAAATAACTCTTTTGAAAATTTTTCTCGACATCAGAAACGTCTGATGTAATTTAATTGCGATTTAGTACAGAGAAGTCTTTGGAATTACTTCTGTACTGCCATATTATCAAATTTCAAATTTAATTCTAATAGTTCAGGAAGATAAAAAATTAAAATCTTTTGAAAAATCTCATTTGTTTATTTCTTCCTCATTCTATTTATCCTTCTCTTTCTTCTTTCATATTTTATTGCAAAATTTCAATATTTACCATTTTTTAAGCATTCAAAAGGTATAGTATATTGTCCGATGAAGTCATCATCAATGTAATCATCATCGAGTACCAAAAATCTTATCAATGCCATTTCCGGTATGGTAATTTCAAATTGAAATGATTCATCGAATGATGGATTAGCACCTGAAATACTTTCTTTTTGCACATGAATTTGAAAAGCTAGTTGAGATGAATATTTAATTTAGGTAAAATTCAACAAAGAATATTTCAGTATTAATTTAAATCTTTACACAAAGTTTAGCTTTAATTGTTATTGAAAAAAATACGTGAACTTTTTTTTTCATTTTTTAATGAATAAATATTCATTCATTCAAAAAACATTTTCAAACTTTAGTGATTTCCAAAATTAAAAGAAAAATTTTTTTTACATCGTATTAATTCAACTTGCCATCATTCTTTACAGTTCTCGTCCTTTCTTCAGTGCAATCAGTTGGACATCCAAATATTTCCACTACCACGTATGGATCTGTGGAATTACCTTTAGCTGTTGAACCACGAGGTCGAGGTAACTGTTGACCGGATATAATTCGTAAATATAAAATCTGAAAATTTTCAAGGCATACGAGAAAGAAAAATATTAGCTAAATTTAAAATCATTCCAACTGTATTACAAATTTATATTGCTTATTTCTAGCAAACATTATTGTTATAATAATTAATTCTATTTTATTGCTCCTTCATTATCTTCTCTGATTGTTTTGTTCTTATAAAATAAATGCAAAGCGATAAAACAAACAATCTTTTCTTATTGTTCCATTATTGTATGTTATTCTTTTATCACATTGTTTATATATTACAGAAAAATATTCAATTAAAGAATTAATTTGAAAAAAAAAACCCGGTTTTACATTTAACATTTTTCAAGTGAAAAAATATAATTTCTTTTTTTCTCCATTTTTTTTTCGAAAATATTAAAATAAACTTGTGGTGGAATTGGCATCATATCTCCAGGTGTATATAATTCTTCGCGCATTATTGATGGCTTCAGAATATAACCACATCCACCATTATCCGAAAATTTTCCTTGCTAAAACAAATTTTGTTTAAACCTAGTTATATATATATATAATAGTATACTCAAATGATCATAAAAAAAGACATAACAAATGATCATACATGAAAATAAAAAAGAAAAAATTAAAAAAATAAAATTACCTAAAGAATAAACCTTCTGATTAAATGTCAAACATTCTAAAATTAAGGTAATGCTTTTAACATAATACCACAATGGAAATACGATCAAGCTTATAGACTTCTAAAAAGCTTCTCCTACTAAGCTAAGTTTCAAAAGAACATTTAAAACATCCAATCAATTAGCTAGACAAAAAATAAACTGTAGGATATCTTATGACTTGAAATTTGCATTATGTATACATGCTATTACATGTATATGTAATAAACTTTACTAATAGGTTGAGTTTCAATTTTTCAGCAAATAAAAACAAGCCTGTAAATCCATCATCAGTCCTAATGTTTGGTAATTTAACGAAACCATTTGAATACCATAATTCCAGAATTCTTGTGGATTCATATTTGATGAATCAGTGCTATGAAAATTAATTATAGAACTAACCATCATATATTTGAAAAAGTTTCTCTCTTTTTTTGTAAATTTAAATTCCAGTGAATATGACCAAGAAAAATAAACCAATCAAAATAACAAAAATTCCTCTTTTATTTTTCTCTTCAACAAACTTTGTAAAGACGAATAATAATAAATCTAATACTTTTTTTATTTTTTCAAAGCGAATTTTAAACAAATCAGTGTAGACTCAGATTTGAAATATTAGATTAATAATTTGCACTATACTTAAATTTATTAATAAACATTTTATTTTGGATGAAGCTTTTTTCGCCTTTGACTGCGCAATTTTTTAGTCATTGTTTAGTTGAAGAAAAAGGAAGAAAAAGCTATTTGATCTGATATTAAATATAAATTGAAAGAATAACTTATCGCTATATGTTGCTATAAAAAAATATGAACATTTACCGTGATGTATTTGGTGTTAAGAGCATTAAATAATCTTTAGCAATTTGAGCAAATTCTGACGGAGAGTTTTGTATCATCTTAAGACAGTTATATTCGGTTGATGCAAGAAGATGGCAATTTTTGTCAACTATAACCAAATATTATTCAGCATTTATTACAGTAATCGAGAAAAATAAGAATGCTAATAAAAATATGGAAGAAAAGCCAAGATATATTAGCAAAATGTATGCTCATATTTTTCAAAAACTAAGCTGCACCATAAGCAATATCAAATAATAATGGACATTTTTGCTTACTGTGAGTGCTTACTGTAGCTTACCGTAATCGGGCTTACTGTAATTTTCTGCAATATTTTATCTGTTCATTAATTTCTAATAAGCTTACATATATTATGCGTAGTAATTTCTGTGATTGTAGCTGGGATTGCCCATGGACACATTAAATCCGATAATTTACGGCAAACAAGCATTTGTTTAAGATTTTTCGGTGGTGAATTGATCATTTCATCAAATTCTTCCACAACATTATTTTCATTTTTTACAAATACTTCACCAATATCTTGCTCAGTATTTTTAATACGTTCACCCTGAAAATAGATACAAAAATGCAAATTATATATAAGGAATTTTTCCACCGTTAAACATAATTCTGTCTGATTATTTAAATAAAACAAAGATTTTCAAAATTTTTTGATTCAAGTAATTTTAATAAAAGTCTAGTAAAAGTTTTTGTTTTAGAAAAATCTATTATAAAATAAAATATTTCAAATTAAGAATGTCCGATTTTTTTCTTATTTTCTCTTAATATTTCAAAGATTTCAAAAAATTTTTGCAAAATATTAATTGTAAGCATACAATAAGAATAATCTTCATTTCAAAATCTTTTGGCGTTGGCCGTTGTTGTGTCCAATCAGTGGGATCATTATTTGGCTGATATAATTTATCCCCAAATGTATCATGAAGCATATCAAAAAGTACCATTTGCCATTCAATATTTAAATGTATTTCCAATCGTATAAATAATGGATATCTACAAATTAAAATATCATTTTCAATTAATAATTAAAAACAACAAAAATTTAGCCAAAGGAAAAAATTGCCAAAAATTTAATAACAAAATGACTACAGTTCCAAAATTTAAATAAATCAAATGAAATAAAATATAAGAGGTATGAAATATGAAATTTTTTTTTATCAAGAATGGATGATGAATTTCATATTTCAGGTATAAAATATGAAATTAGAGAAGAAATTCATCATCCACTCTTGATCTGTCTTATAGTCAAAACTTAAATTTGGCGATTAAAAAATGTCATAATTAGTGTGCGTAAAAATTTAAATTTATGCACTGTCGATCAATTGTTGCATTTACTAAATCGAACAATTTTTAATAAGTTAAAACTTTTGTAGTCATATTTAACATTCAACAGCTATTATTTACCGCAACTATACAAATTATTACCTTGATTTTTGAAAAGCCATTTCATTGATAACTTTCAAGACAGCAGATAAGGTTAACTTAGACGAACCACAACGATTATGGATTATTGGTTCCATTTCGTTAGTTCCTGCTATTGGTTCCCAGACATCTACTACAACACTATGAAATGTTTTCTTGAGAAAATTTTATGAATTCATATTTTCTTCTATTAATTCTATCATATTACTACAAAAATTATGATATAATAGAATAAAGTAATCAAATTATTGTGATATTAATGTAAAAGAATCTTTGCACTTATCAAATTGCTATAAATTAAATAATTAATAAATATTTAGGATAACGATTATTGATTGATACATGCAGGAGTTTTTTTACACCGTATTTAACTATATTATGAAGGATATTTTTCAAACGATTCTTTCATTTTTATTTTTCTAAAATCCTAAAAAAGAAAATATTTTGATTGAAAGACTTGAATAATTTGCAGAAAGTTAATCATAAATTTTGAGAATAAGAATTAACTATATTTAATTGTTTGATTAACGTGTGACAAACATAAAGTGTAACAAACATGTTAGCAAAATTTTGATTTAATTTTAGTTATTTGGTCGATCGATAAGATATTTAGCATTACTAAATTTGTAATCAAAGAAACCTTCAATAAATCGACAATTACGACGAAGTGCTGCAATATAACCTTTACAATTTAAAGGCTCTTTTAATTGATTTTCGATTAATGATGTATTGAAAGATGTTGCAATGAAATAATTGTTAAATGGTTGATCCATTTTTTGACATACGTTTCGATGAGTGCTATCAAATAAAAAATTTTCATCACTGTGAAGATAATTGGTAAATCCTGCAAACAAAAATAAATGCAGCAAAATTTACATACAATATATGCAATATTTGGAATAAAAAATTCAAAAAAAGATGAAAATTTTAATATTTTTTTTAAAACTCTTTTAAATTAAAAGAAATTTGAAATTTTAATTATCACTAAATATTTATTAGTTGCTCTGATTTCTATTATCATTTTTCTTTTGTTAAAGTAATTCTTATAAAAAGCTATTGTTGTGTAAGAAATTTTTCCCTATCATAATTTTGATAAATTCTAGGCAAAATAATAAATGTAAAATTTAAACTGGTTTTTAAAAACTTTTTTGATGCTTTCAAATTCTTCATATCATCTATTCAAAAATGATTACATTTTTTTACTATCGACAGTCATATGATTTCAAACAATTACCATCGACAGTCATATGATTTAATTCTCGTGCTTCTTTGCATGGTTCATACTGTTCGATAATTGATTTACAAAATTCTATTGTTATTCCTAATAACTGAAATATAATTTTCCGTTTAATTTAAATTAATAAACAATTCAAATTCCAATTTTCATTTACTGCAGCATATATGCTATATGTAAACGTCAAAAAGATAGAAACAATGGCACTTTAGTTTAATTACAAAATGCAAGCTACCAATTAAAGCACAAAATCAAAAAACACAAACGAAAAATGATCTGCGTGTTAATTGAACCAATTTCTATTTGTTAAGCATTTCAGTACTATTAATTAATTAACTATTGGAATAATAACAAAAATTAATCAAAGCAATATCATAGCAACAATAAAGCATTTTTACTATTAGCATTCAAAAAATTTTATAAATTTTAAGAAATAAAATAAACCCAAACAATTGGAATTCAAAAATTTTACAAAATAGATAAATTTCAAAATTTAATATAAAAAACAAATAGGAATTAACATAAATGAACAACCCCTTGTTCCGTTTCTAAGAATACTTGAAGATCTTTGCAGCTCAAATAATCCTTATTAGCATATTGAACCATCAAAAAATATATTTCAGATCTTGTTGCAACGTTCTATAAATAACAAATATGATATTATCTTCAAATTAAATCAGAATTTAATTTGATTTATTTTCCTCACTATAAAAATTCAATGATTAGTCCTTTTTTAATATTTATTTCAAAAACAATAGATAATTTACTGTCACGAACAAAAAAAAAATAACGGAAAAAAAAAATTTTTGAGAAATTCGAATTATAGCTTCTGCGAGAATAGAAAAAAGTGTACTGAACCACAATTAAAATTATAATAAATTATGTAATAACCTTGTAAATTTCAACAAATTGTGAACGTGTAATATTTCCATGTTGTGATTCACCGGAATTTAATGTACTTGCTTCCTGTTAATAGAAATATATCACTAAATAATAAATTTCATTTTTTTTTTAATTCTGATAAATTGAAATAAAATTCAAAAAAGAGATATACCTTAACTTCATGTTCAACTTTATTAAGCAATATTCGCGGATTAAGTTTCTTGATTAGTTGTACCGTTTCTTTTTTCGTTAAGCAACCACATTTTCCGATATCCGCTTCATCAAATGCCGATCCTAACCATCTGAGTACAGAAATTAATAAATTAATGTATATTGACATTTCCTTTCCCTCTCTCACTTCTTCATTAACTACCGCACTATAATTTTTGTACTTTTGTGCTTAAAAAATCTCACAACACTTCGCAATTTCTTACCTTTCACGAAGTGTCGCAAGTGGCTGCGAACCTGATGGCTGTAAGTCGCAATTGTCTGCAAATTTAAAAAAAAAGATTAAAAATTGTATTTTTAAATTCCGAATTTTTTGATTTTATTTGTAAGCGATTTATAGAAAAGAATTTCAGTTTAACAACGAATCCTTATTTATTAGGCTCCCAAATAAAAATGTAAGGATTTGATAACATATTTATCTTTTATTTTCTATGCTTCAAATTTCTTGAACTGTAAAATTAAATCAAATATTTCATATAGAAGTAATAATTCGTTATGTATTAACAATAACCATTCATATGACATTACTAACATTTATACGGTGATTACAGCGTTTACAGCGTTTAGAATACATTTTTTCTAGAATTGCATGAAAAAAAATTAAAAAATTCATTTCTAATTTCAAAATTTTCTTCGTCTCTTTTTTTGCTTGCTTACTTTTGTTTTTTAGAAGAAAAAAAAAAGATAAAAAATCACATTTTTTCGTTTATGCATCAAAAAAAGTATATTTTGATTTATAGCAATTGAAATTACTAGTCTAAAAGTAATTTCAATTGTTATAAATCAAAATATTGCGGCATTGAAATTTCTTTTTTTTGCGCTAACATATGTTTTTACAGCTCAAAATAATGCTTGCACATTTGGTTATTTAAATTTTTCAAACTTACCTTTATTGATTTATTTACCATATTAAGGAAAACATCAGAAAATTTGAAAACTAAATACATATATAAGTAACGTTTTAGTTAGTTTTTTAATACATAAATAAGCATTACTTATGAAACTATTTATATATTAATTCATTATAATTGTTTTTTTCTTCTATTATTAAACCAAATTTTATTTTGCTATTCATTTTTTTTTCGCCCGTATAAATAATTTCTTTTCCTGAGATGCATGAAATAAATGAACAAAATTTTTTGCACTATTTTTTCATTCTTTTATTACAAATATTTCAATTTTTCTTTTGTTTTATAATTTTTTCTTAATCTTTTCCGTTTTTCTTGTTACAGTTTGATATTCGAATATTGTTACTGAAATATTATTCCTTAATTGTATAATAATACGTGTAATACTCGCCGACATGTTTGGAAATAAGTGATGTCAATCCAGTTATCCAAATTTTAGCAATTTCTGGTGTTTGAGCTATCAAATCTAAGCATTCGTATTGATCACCATGAATTATCGAAAAAGCACATTCTTCCTGAAAAAAGAAAAACTTTAAAATAATTTCTTTTTTTGAATGCTAAAATATGTTATAAGAAAACATTCCTAATTAATTTTGCATAGAATTTATGAAAATTGGATTAATTTTGCCGGGAAAATGTTAATTAAAGAAAAAAATTCTCGCATACAATTGGTTATCTTAATTTTAAGTAAATAAAATTAAAATATGACCAAATTAAATATCACCAATTCAATATTATGAAGCGTTTTTTCCAAAATTTTTAGCAAGTTTTCAAAACAGCATGATAAAATTTTCAATAGCAGAAAAATTAAATTTGATTAACATAATGTAAGTTGAGAAGAAAAAATGACTGATATTATTTCTAATAAAAGCGAACACTATAAAATTCTTTTATTTTTTAATTAAAAATTGCAAAATTTGTATTGGCACTGCATTGATTTTGTGGAAGGAAGAATGATAATTAGTATTATTATTTTCATTAAAATAATACAGTATGATATGACACATATACAGTATGACACATATACAATAATACAGTATGATTATGATGCAATTCTGCATACGGTAGAACAAATTATCATATCTAACCTGTAGGTCATTTGCGTAATTTTCCGTTGCACGATGTAACTCGGTGTTTCTTCCAATACGTATTTCTTTAATGTTTTCAATAGCTACTGAAATTAAGCGTTAATGATATGGTTGCCATAACAATTTGAAAGATTATTGATGTTTTAGATGATTACAGTTCTTATCAATTATTAATCGTTCAAATTCATTCAAATTATTCATTTATTTCTCGATTAAATGCTACAATTACTATTAAATTAAATTACTAATATTGGCTTATTTATAACTATTTGGCATAATGATTCTTTGTTTTATCACATTTTTTATTCACAAATAGTTGTCAATTTCATATTTCAACACTATTCTTCAACCATATAACTAAGATAATCTTTAATTCAATAATTTAAAACAATTGAGTTATTAGGAATAAATTTTAGCTGATATTAAATTATTAAACATCTTACTTTGCACTTGAATTGTTAATTTGATTACGCTTAAAATTAAAAAAAAAGAACAAAAATGACAACTTTTAGCTTTTTGAGGTTTTTTGTTTGTTGGCGTCCAATGTATGTGCGACAAATTGGAATCTAAGGCAAATGTCCGACGAAATTGACGAATATTTGTTCGTAATTTGATGAATTCGGTAGCATTCTGCATTATTCGTATACAATCCGCCACTGAATATAATTAGTAATTAAATACTAGAACGAATGATTGAAGTATGTTACGAGGCATATTTGTTTAAATATGAAATGAACTAAAGCAAAAAAAAAGGTTAAAGTTAAAAGAGTTGTATCCGGCATGTGATTACAGTATACTGGAAGATGCACTGTATTGAGACATTTCGATAATAATGCTAAACTTTACCCCATTTTATTGATTTTCCCAAGAAATCATACCAAAATGACACTGATAATAATGATAAAAACTTGTAAAGCATATATATACAAGGGCATGTTCTTAAAAAGTTTTTTTCTTTTAAATTAGACAACAAAACATTTGCTGTGATTGTTTTATTAGATAATTGTAAAAATGTCAATTACTATTTTGGAAAGCTCATTTAGAAATAACTGTTGAACTGGCGAAAAAAAATCGTAATTAGTCGATTTGTTTTTAATCATCAATGCTTTCTTTATTTGAATAACTTTTTTAACCTTACCAAAACCCATTTAATCAGTTAATTGCTTTTTTATTAATTAAAATTTTCAAAATTAAAAAGAAAAAAAATAAATTAAATGGTATTTCTCACCATTGCATATTTTTTTTTCATGTTTTTGCATAAAACTGACAAATTTGGTTTCCGATGCGCAGTTTCGATTTTCGCGTTTCATCAGCGAACTGCGCAATGGCGATGATTTACTGAAAGTAGAGAATAAAAAATGAAAATTTAAATTTTTAAAAATGCAAAACAAAGAAGTAAATATTTAGCATCCAAAAGTTTTTTGAAATTCCTGCGTTTTAATTACCTATTTAATGTGTTGATTTCGTCCTTTGTTTTACTATTTCTTCATTATTTATTTTAAAGTTGAAGTAATTATTTAACAAAACTGTTTTTAAGCAAAACTTTTTTCTGCAACTTATGCATCAAAAATATTTTAATTAGTTATTTTCTATTTTAATTAGTTATTTATCGCTTTAATTGATTAATTAACATTATCAATTCTGAATTAGTTAAAGAAAAATGATTGTGTTTTAAAAAATAAGTCTTTTTTCCTTCTAAATGCTTGCTAATGCAAAGAAAAATTAGATCATTAATGTTTTTGTTTTTCTGTTATTTTTTTAAAAGCAAAACGAAAAATATCATTTATATGTTGCACAATCCATGCAATTTTTCAAATGTGTGTCGCCGATTTTAATATCTCGTTTCACTTTCTAGCACGTCATAAACTCTCAAAATGCGTCATATACCTTTTCTAACACGTCATAAAAACACAGTTTTCTTTTATATGTCATCAACACTTTTTGAAGGCGTCACGAATCATTACGCAATTAATCTTAAATGCTTTTTTATAATTTCCTAATTGAAAAAAAGTTGAAACTTTTGTTTTCCTTTTCTGTTTTCCTTCTCTTTAATCTTTCAGCTAATGAGAATTAGCTGAAAGTTTGAAGAGAAGGAAAACAAATTTTTTATGGAACATTTGTATTTCCTTTCAATTCTTTACTTTCCTTTCATATTCTTCAATTTCATAAAATAGCAAAATATTAAATTTCAGTTTTTAATCTTTTTTTTTTAAATATTTTTTCAACGTAAAATTTTTAACCTTGAAAAATGTGATGTTGATATTATCACTTCTTCATCGGCTAATTGTGTATCATCGATTTTTCGATCAGACGGATTTACGTTATGTTCTGCTTCCATTTCACTGAAAAAGTTTCACACACTTCTTAAGATTATTTATGCTTCTATAAAAAAAAAAAAAATTGTAACTGATATGAAGTACAATAATTTTCAGTTTTTAAAATTTTTTTTGCTTTTGATCAAATTTGCATTCAAATTAAATAAAATAAACGAAATGGTCGATAATTTAATTTGCAATGTAACTAAAATATCTCAGAAAAAATCGAAGAATTATGAAATTGTAAATCTCAATAAATTATTTTAACAATTTAAATGATTTGCTAATGTATTTTGACAAATTTCAAATTTTTATTATCTTTTTTTTTCGAAAATTTCAATGTTTTAAAGAAAAAATTAAATGCAAAAAAATTAATGAAAATGAATAAATTTTTCAAATAAAAAATGTTCAAAATCGTTTCAGTATTAAAAAGTTAATGTGTTAATTGATCATAAATAAATAGCTAGGATAAAAACGTGGAAAAATTAATAAAGCTATTTATAATTCATAGCTTAAATTAGATGGTAGCAATGAAAAAAAGCATCTAATTTTCAATTGTCAAGCAAAAATTATTAATTTTAATACTCAAGTATAAAGTGAAAGCTCGTTTCATTTGATACTATTTGATTTAAATTCTGTACATTAATCATCAAATTTCTATAAGTTTATGGTAAGCATTTTTTTCATTTTATCACATCTCACAGAACAATATTTATTCATTTGATTTTCTAATTTTAACAGATATTTTAAAATTTCACAGCTCCTGCATTTTTTTTTTTTTAGAACTGATAAAATGATGTTCGATATAAATGAAATAGAATTTTAATAATAAGTAATGAGAATGAAAAAATCGGCATATTAGTATGCAAATTCAATTAGAGATGGAAGGAAATTATTTTCAAGTTAATTTAAAATTTGTATTTTAATTCATTCGGTTTGCAGATATTACACGTGCATACCGAGAAAGAGTGAATGAGAGAGAAGAAAAAAATATGAAGGATAACGATTATACATTGATATACACATCCATAGAGAAAAAGGGATCCGTGAGAGATATCTTTGAAAAGTTAATAAATTTTGTTTATTTTTTTCCTTAAATTGATTATTTTTTTTAACTAATTTCAGAATTGAAAATATTTATTTGCTTTTCATAATGCAAAAAAGACCATTCAACAAAGGGCTCTAAGATAATTCTTCAAATATTCTTTCCATTAATCAATAAAACAATGCATATTTTCATAGCTCACTCAAAAATTCGCTCATTTTGTTCATTTCAAGAAAATGGAAAAGTGCTTAGAAGTGGAATTGTGTTTGAATAGAGAATGAATTGAAATTGTTTGAAAATTACTTATACTTCTAATACTTTTTCACTTAACATCTAAAATGTTGCATTATCTTTCTAATATCTTTTATTTCTCCAACTCTCCTTTATCTCACAATCGTTAATTTCTAATAATTTTGTTTTTATCATGAATAATTGCATGAAATAAAAGATATTAGAAGCCTTCGAATAGCATTTTTTTAAATTTATTGATAAGCAGAAAAAAAGAGATTTCAATGACAGCTTTTCATTTTTGATAATTTCCTTTATTATTGAAAGAAAAGTGAAAAAAAAAAACAAAATCAGAGGTTCAATTTTTTATGTAATATATGAAAAAAAACTTATATTAATCGATATGCATATTTTGTATAATCAAAATTAAAGAATAATTCAAGTTTTTTGCTAATAAATTTAAAATAAGTTTTATGGATTACTAATGATATTTCAGTGCCGCTGAAATTTTAAAATTTTCTTTCTACAAAAAAATCTTGTGAAAAAAGTGTTTGTTCAACTATTTTTAGAGGATTTCGTTTTTTCATTTATTTATTTTTTGATAACATAAAACGAACAATTTTAGTAAGATATTCAAAATTGTCATATTTTTTTAAAATTTATCAAAAATATTTTTGATCTCCCATTTTGTAATTTTTTATTGTGAAACAAAATACTTATCATGAAAGTTATTTTAATCATTATTTTGTGGTTTGTTAAACATAATGAATTACTTTTATTAAATAATGAAACGAAACTTCTTTATAATTTGAAATATTTCACAATAGAAAAAACGTTTATTTTTAGGCCTTAATGCGAAAAGATATTTTTTTAGAATTTTAAT